GAAAGAAACGAAATAACATTCAATAAGCGTTAAAATGGTGTCATTCAAACCTTTTCTTTGCCGCTGAGACATTTCTAAAAGTAGTACATTTTTCTTTCTAGGTATACAGGCCACCAATGTCGTCTGATCTCTTGTGATTAGGCATTCAAAATAAAAATTTCACGCCAAATTGTCATATTTAGTGGCTTCTTTTATAAATTTTAAAATCTATTTTTTTCTCCATGTATGAAAAATTCACTTTAACCTTTCTGACAGGCAAAATGATCGCCAGATATGCAAAACACGACTTCACCGTTCAACTTACAAACCTATCTAGGTTTTTTTTATTGAAAGATAAAAGACTTGTTTTCTTTTTATTGTAATTACCATATCTGTTGAAAAAAATGATTGGATATTTTTGGAGAATATTGCTTCGTTGGTGTAACACGCTATTTTCTTTTTTCTTGTAAATTATTAACGAGATGGGAGACAGTCAGTTTTGAATAAAATATGAAAATTGATTGAGATTTAGTCGACAGACATAAAATCAAGACTTTCAAAACGGACTTTTAGGAGGCGCTTTGGGAAAATATTACCGTAGACAGTTAATACGTGCCTTCCTTTTTTCGGCATTTTGAAAAGCACTGAGAGATCGATCAGCTTTATCCTTTAGTGTGCTACTTTAACTGGAGTTTCCGTTTATCTCGAACAATTGCAAAAATCTGTCTGAAAGATAAAAAGATAAGAAGACAAATCAGTAGAAAACGAAAGAAGTTTTCACTCACCCGAAAGCGGAACTCTTATTTTCTAACAAAAACTCCCGTTTCTTCCAACTTCAGTAAATTCCCAGCAAAATCTCAGTTTTACTGAAAATTGAGATTTTCGGTGATATTGATCGCTGAGATTTCGAATAATTTCACTGACTTACATTATGATCATAGGTAGGTCTAATGCGTAAAACATTTTTTTCAGAATTAATAAGATAGTAACACCAGTTGATTCTAAATTCATATTTATTTAATTAAAATTAAAAAATTTTATAAAAAGCTAACAGTTCGAAAATATTAATTTTCATGTCGAAAATAAACTTAAGAGAGCTCTTAAGTTTATCTTTGATATGAAAATTAATATAGTTCTGTTGCACGATAAGGACGACCTAAGCTGCTCAGTCGATGAAGAGTAAAAATTTTCATCTGCTAGACGATAATGTAAATCTCAAAGTGTACATTCGATCTTTCGCTAAATATCCGTCTGGATGCCCACTGCGTCTGAAATGTATTCGTACAAATGAATATAACGGCTGTGAAAAGGCCAAATGTATGTTTATGCAACTAGATGCAACGGGTATCGAAACTAGCGTAGCTAGCTGTGACGGCCGCTTCAATATTTTTATCTTTTTTTATAGCTAGTTGCAGCCGGTTATGAAGCTAGTGTAACTAGCTGCAGTAGATGCTACTAGCTTATTTTTTCATGCTTGGGGAGAGGACTGGGACAGTGCTATGAAGTTTTTGACTACTCTATTTATAACTTTTCTGCAAACGAGTTTTCTGAAAACTTGTTTCATTTGGAAGAGTGTAGAATTTTGATCCAGAATGTGTCGTTAAAACAAATTTTGTCAGAAATATTGATTTTCAGAAAAGCACATGGTTAGATAGCCCAATGTGCCTATATTCTAACGGCATAATTTTTGCGTCGATAGGATCTCGTTACCACACTTTGATATAGTCAACATTCCTTGATAGTTTGGTTCAGATCAGACCTACCTGGTATAAGACAGATTTCTAACCCGGGCAGGCAGCCTTAACTCGAGTGTCGGGCGATCTTCTTCATATTATTACAAACTAAACAGCAGAAGTTTTCATCCGCTAAATGACAATCCCCCAGAGGAAAACTAGTTGTTTTTAAAAAGTGCACTTTTGACTTTTCGCTAAATGTTCGTCTCAATGTCCACTGGGGGCGGCATGTATCCAGACGAATGGCTATAACGGCTATGAAAAGACCAAAAGAATTAGCTGAATAAAAATCATAATGATATGATAGACGATAACAGTATAGATAACTTGTCAGAGGTGGGCGATGGACTGTTTTTAGCTTCATCGCGGGGATCGCCCCGCAGCCTCTTGTCTCGTCATCCTTCCGTACCTCATCAAGCTTTCAAAAATTCTTCCACGCGGGGTCTTACGAAGATCCTCGTCCAGCGCCCACCTCCGTAACTTTGTATAAGCAGTTGTATTTGAAATTCTTGTGTATAAACAGCAATGTTCTTTTTACATGTTTTCCCTAAGGATAGTATCAAAATAGAACAACTTCTCACAATGATTATTTCAACATTGAGAAAAGTGGATGCACAATTAAAATTCATTTTATTTCCATGTAAAAAAAGATTAACTATTTGAAGTAATATACCCATTTGATCATGACGTGGAATTTAAACTCTTAATAGAGTTTTTATTAGAAAATCGACCTTTTGGAGACTGTACAAAATTAGTTTTCCGTTTTGAGCAAACAGTTCGAGGCCTTGAGCTCTGTGTGGTTGATTGGAGAGGTTTTCATAGCAAATTATGTACGATGTAGAGAAAACTGTAAGTTTTTCTTTACAACGACAAAAAATATATAGTCAATTTTTATTTATCAAAAACAGAACACAAAAACATATAAAAAGAATGACTACTGATAAGATCGAGTCGATAGTACAACTTTAGCCGTTGTACAGAATATTGACACAGAACAGCGGATTTAGTTTTGCAGTTAACTGCAAAGCTAACGAGGGAGCGTTAACAACTAATGAATCGCGTTCGGGCCAAAACCTAGTGGATCCAGTCGAGTAGCTGGTATAGCAGTTGTGAAGCAATATATGTATTAAAAAGCCAATTCATTTGATTTCTAACCATTTTCATCATATAGAAAATGGCGTAGTTCATTTAAAAAATCAACGAACCAGTTGAAAGAAAAATTTACAATACTCTAACTTTCACGTATGCAAAGCCGACTTTTACAGTAGAAGCGCCCCAGATTCATTCCCGAACTTGATCCAAAGCTAAAAGTCACAGTGTCAGATAGAACTCGTCCAGACGCATGCAGCTTAGATCATTAGCTGGACGAAAACCTCAGAGAGTTTTGCAAGACCGATTTTTTCTGTGTTATGGAAGAATAAAAGTCCCCAGATTCATTTCTCGGTTGGTCCAGGTCTGAAACAAACGTTTTATGACTCAGTGCGACGAGTTCTATTGAATGGTGTTATTTTGAGAATTTTCCACCGACAAAAAGTTTAGAGATTTTGAGAAAAACTGGTATCAGCCTTGGATCTCAGAAATAAAATATTTTCAGATTCGTTTCTAAACCTGATTCAAATTGGAGACCGGCTAATTCAAATAGTGCGCGACAAGCTGTACAAAATAACATAAATCATTTTGAAAAGGAACGAAGTATCTGCTAGAAAAATTTGAAATACTCAAGTTCTGACACATAAAAAAACTGACTTTTGCAACAAAAATTCCGAAGATTCATTTCCTGACTTGATCCAAGTCTGAGACCTACATTCCTTTACTCAGCTAGACTTTACTCGTCCCACAGAACTCCGAAGTTCACGATGCGAAATTCCCACCTGAAAACAGAATTCAACAACATCTATTGGTTACTGAACAGAAATTATATCAGTCGACCATCTATAGCGACGATGTTTAGCCTTGGACCAAGTTCGGGAATGAATCTGGGCGGATCTACTGCAAAAGTCGGTTTTGTATACGTGAAAGTTAGGGTATTGTAAATTTTTCTTTCAAATAGTTCGTTCATTTTCTAAATGAACTACACCATGTTCTATAGTTCGTTTACTTGGACCAAGTGTTTTAGTTTGGATAAAGTTTTGAAGTGAATTTGGATGGAAAATATTTGAATCTAGTTCTAACGTCACTTACTTCAGATATGCACATATTTGAATTGTCTATGGAATTACGGCAAACGCATCACGTGAACGCTTCACAAACTCTTTCCGCTTGTACCAAATATGCGAAACTTAAAACTGTCGGCTTCTCGCACTGTAAATGTTTAAAAAGAAAACTTCCTACTCTCTTGTTTTCTTGAAAACCTACATATTCTTCTAAACTAATTATATAACCTATCTTACCGAATTCTTATCCAAATCTTATAAGATTCTTATATTGCTTCGTATACGAATCTTAGCAATATTCTACGCATATCCACTGCCTTATATAAGATCGCTACAGAATTGCTGTACGTTCAGTCAGCTACGGTGCATACCAAAAGTTTGAATACTATCCCATGTATGACTTGAGCAAAGCCGGACGAAAATTGAGAGCGTCTGTCGTGATCACAGATGAACAATTTTAACCACCAATCCATGCTGTAGTCAATGATCAAAGCTCAAAAGTAACAATTGAAAACTTGAAATCAGTATTTCTCAAAATAATCGACAACCTAACAACTGAGCGAACATCGTAGTGCTTGTTGTGGCTATTTCCTGAAAACTAGAAGAACAACTCACACTTGAGAACAGGACGCAGCCATTCCGAATGTCTACTTTAACCGAGCTTTCACTCTTCGAATGTCGTTCTCAGTGGTTACCAGCTGTGGATGCGTTGCCGGCAGTGATTTTCGTCCTATTGCTGCTGCTTTGTTATGACACTCTAACGCATATTGCCAAGTACGAGTCCCTTCATGCGTCAGGCCCATATTACGGTATGTTGAAGCGATATCAGGGTGATCGGGTGGAAGAGCTTTTAATCTGATTTTCAATGCTTTTTCATAATTCATCAAGCTAAATCATATTCACCTTTCTTCTGGTGTACATTACCCATATTGTTATATGTTAAGGCGATATCAGGGTGATCGGGTGGAAGAGCTTTTAATTGGATTTTCAATGCTTTGTCATAATTCATCAAAGCTAAATCATATTCACCTTTCTCCTGGAGTACAATACCCATATTACCATATGTTAAGGCGATATCAGGGTGATCGGGTGGAAGAGCTTTTAATTGGATTTTCAATGCTTTGTCATAATTCATCAAAGCTAAATCATATTCACCTTTGTTCTTATGTACAATACCCATATTACCATATGTTGAGGCGATATCAGGGTGATCGGGTGGAAGAGCTTTTAATTGGATTTTCAATGCTTTGTCATAATTCATCAAAGCTAAATCATATTCACCTTTCTCCTGGAGTACAATACCCATATTACCATATGTTAAGGCGAGTGAAGGGTGATCGGGTGGAAGAGCTTTTAGTTTGATTTTCAATGCTTTTTCATAATTCATCAAAGCTAAATCATATTCACCTTTGTCCCCGTGTACATTACCCAGTCCTATATAACACGAAGCAATACCAGAATCATCCACTACCAGCTCATTTAACAATCGTTTATAATATTTTTCGGCCTTGTCCAATTCACCCATCTGACGGAACAAATTTCCAAGTGAAATGAGAGTAGTTTCACTCTCCATTTCTTTCTTCATATACCCAAACACTTGTTTCAAATCATGGTCATCTTCGTTGCATAAATCTAAATCAGCCATCCAGATCTGCTGTTCTTTGTCGTAGTGGACACTTTCAAGTCGAAAGATCGAACCGAGCATAAGCAAGATTTCTTCTTCACCAGGGAAATAACTCAACCGGGAAATATCGGCAAACGGTTTTGCTTTTATTCGACTCTTGACTTTAATTGTGAAGAGAACACATTCAAGATCTTCACACTGAGCACTTTGAGCAAATCGAAGTGCCTTCATCTGGCTACGAGTTGTGGATAGAAAGGAGGTGATCGAGATGAATTCACCAATACTTGAGCGAATGCGATCAAGTTCATCTTTTGATATCACTTGACCTCGGTATAATCGACGAATATTTGTGTTGGACGATTCTTTTATGAGCTGATTGTGAATATCGGTGATTAGAAATCGAAGTGCGAAGAGAATGTCGATGTTCTGAACTCGAAGCGCTTTGTTCAGCATCTTGTAGAGAAAACACTCTCTAGTGTACCATCGTACAGCATCAGACGACTTGTATGTTTGATGAAATTCACGAATAATCTTAAGTTCTGCATCGTTACCTTGATAGTATTCGTTGCAGATTTGAACAAGTTCATCTTTCGATGTTGGAGAATGTTTCATTCGGAGTAGAACTTCAATAAACAGCTGAAACCACATGAATGAGCTGTTGTCTGATTTGAGATTTGTGTGTGTTCTATCGTAGATGCTGATTGAGATCGAATCTTCTGTTTTCTCTCGTTTCGCCTGATCTTTACATATTGTCTCAACGAGCTCCTTTAGCTCAACAATTACGGCTCGGATCTAGAAAAGCAACAGAAAATAAATGAGGGCTGCGAAATTGTGGGGCATTCTAAAGAGTACATGGGGTTCCATGACTTGTTTCGCGTTTGTTTGCTGTAAAACTCTGCTAAGAAGACGGAGCAACAGTGTGCCACCTCCAGACAGCAAGTGGATCTAGTTTCAGAAGCATCCATCATTTAATCACGCCTTCGCTAACTCACATATCTACAGTCACATTATAGAGACAGCACAGAGTGTTTTTCAGAACTTCAAAGTGTGTCTTTGTCTACTTGTAAGGTATGTTCCAAAGACAAGACTATCATGCCAAGTTGAAGCAATATTTTCTCTATCGGCATTTAGGCACATTCCAGGTTCTGGAGACCATTAACTTTTGTTTCTACTAGTCCATCACAGAATGATCTCGATTGGTTTCGAAAGAGAGATGAGAGAACTTTAATGTACCACACATCTGCTCACTTGGCTCATAAATCCATGTGAGAGAAGTTGAAGCTATGTAAGAGAATGCTTGCTTCTCTCTTCAAGTGTTTGCTGCTCAGAGGACAACTTCGTTTACCTTTTTATAAGGTTTTGCCCATATTTCATTCGTTCTTTTGTCCATACAGTAAACGTAAATGGCACTTAACTGGTGTAAATCGTGAACTCTAGGGACAATCTCTCTGCCTAATCGACCAGAAACAATTAGAACAATCTTTTCATCTTTGCTCTGTCCAACATGTTCTTCACATTCATTGCTACTTTCAAACGTCATTAAACAGTTGATTGTTCTCCGCAATTGTATTTGTGTTTCTAAGTTCTCTTTGCTTTCATTCACATTCTGATCGAGCCATAAGAGAGCAAATGTTTCTAGATTTTGGTCTTGTTTGTGACTCTGCTGTTCAATGTTTGTGTTTGTCCATTTTGTGAGTTGTGGATTGCTAGACGCCATCGACGCTAGAAGAAAGAGCTACCTGAAAGCAGAAGTTGATGGAGAATGACAGTTGCATCTCTTGTTTTCCACATTACGATCTAATCAAGAAACAACGCTTGCTATTGTGATATTCACATACTTGCCTCAAAAGTTCTGGTTGTACTTATGTAGACTGATATTATCACATGAAGGAAGAGGTAAAAAGCGTTCTATTAGAAGTTTTCTATTGACATAACTGAAGATAAGAGAAATGCATTGCTTTTTCTAGAGAGCGCATGTAATATAGTCAACAAAGAGTTGTATTCTTACCATTACAGTCCCACCAACAGCAACGTGTCGGCACACTTTTTGAATTCTACAGACATGAAGAAAGTCGACGAACTTTTGTTCCACCGTATTTCACTTTTCTGCCTCTATTGTGTAATTCGACTTTATGTTTGCATATTTGATCGAAATACTTTTCGTCGTTTTGGCAACACAATAGTGTCTTGAATCCTTAGCGCAAAAGAACAGATAAGAGATGATAGGTGAAAAATATGCCCTCTTGACAGGCTTATATATATATCATAATCGTAGAATGAATTCTAGTTTAACTTTGGAGCATAAAATTAAGATCGTTAGCGTATGGATTTAGTTTTGTGGTTTTATTTCAAAGCTAAGTTCATAGGTTCGCACAAAATTGATCTTTTGCTTTTTGATAGTTTTAATTTAGAATATAATAATGGAATATTTTTCAGCGTGTGTTGTGAAAGAATAAAAGGCTTATCATGTCTGTACCATAAAAGAGACTAATTCAGTATTTTGACACTTGAAATTTATTTTAGTTCCATACGGATATCAGTGAATTTTATTTTTTGTTTTTGATGGATGCATCTCCCGGTTGTAGTCGCGAATATCTTCATTTTAGTTTTCTATACTCAGTTTTAAATGTAAAAGCAGAAAAAAGTCGTGATACCAATTCAGGAATTTTCCATTATCTGACAATATTACAGTTTCGATCGGAGTCCCAGATGTCTAATTAACAAGAAACCGAAATATTTTTCTCGTGCTTAGTGTTGATTAGCTAGCTATGAGCTCAATGAATCATGGGAATTTACTGAGATTGAAGAATAGCAACATAGGCATTATAAAATAAATCTTTTTAATTAGAATAACGTCGAATTTAAAAATGAAATGAATCTTATATCGATAATTAATCTGATGACATATTGATAATGTTTTTATACGAATTAATACAATTTCCGATTCGGTTCATTCTTCTTTTAATATCAAATCACCAGTGTTACTAATTCATCTAAAACTAATTATATTTAATATAATTGAAAGACATTGTTGTGAAGTCATTTTTCATGATGATACTGTGAAGTAGCGCAAGCTCTCTTGTCATGTAAAATCATTTTACAAAAATATTTTTCAGTTATATTAAATATAGTTAGTTTTATAAAACACGTAAAAGCGTCAAGATTGTCAAAACTAATTTATTTATCGTACAATGTTTGTTGGCGTAATTAATGAGCAAGATATGAATCTTGTTTGCGTTACTTGTGATGCCAGTAGTAACTACTGGGATAGTTCGGAACCAATTTTCTAATGTTAGATACAGAATTATGCATGCAAGAAAACTGGAAGGACAATTGTTTGGTATTGACTGAGAAAACTTGATTTGACGTGGAAATATCCATCACGTTCCTTTTAAGTATTTTAGCCGTGACATCGCTACAATCGAATGAGACATTTTCCATACATGAATATTTTTTCACTTCTGTTTGAAATGATAATCCGTGGAAAGCATGGAACACGACAGAGGTAAAGAATGCTCTTTTTGTCCGTTTTCTCGCATACGAAAATGTATGACGCATGCAGAATTCTGTACTTCAAGAAAATCCTCTAAAAACCGTTGATACCGACAAATTCTTTTATAGATTTTGGTGGCAGATATTCGAGGCGATATGATTCTCCATTTATATCAAAACTGAACTCTTTTGAACGAAAATTAAGTTAACTTTCTAGACGTGAGAGAAGTTGCTTTAAGTAATTTCTTTGTAATCCTATTGTTCATAGCTCATGACAACTCAATCTAATCCAACCCAGCGATGCAGAATTGATGATCACTGGTGAGGCACAGTTAGACAGACTTGACGAGTCAGCTACAGTATGGGATATAATAAAATTTCATCGCATTTTATAGTAATTAATACCGTATTCCACTTTTTTACTATAACCCTAGTGGATATACATTAGCCAAGTACTTGCGCAACTACTTGGATTATAAATCGTAAACCAAACGATACAGACATCTACGACACGTCTTAAAGCGAAGAAGAAACTGCGTGTGTAACAACCTTAGACAAGTTACTTATGTCTTGGTGCCCAGGATCATCCGTTTGATCCTCTTGTGATGTCAACAGACGATTGGTCTGAATTATCTTTATCTGAAAGCATTGGATATTACATTTTGAAGCCATACTAGGGGATCCAGTGATCCATGTTGTATGATCAACCGAATGGTACAGAATACAAAAGAATTTTTTCTAAAGAATACACTTTGGAGAAGAGTAAAAAACAAGAAGAGCAAAGAATAAAATAAACTAGCACTGTATTAAAATCCGTCCTTAATATAACTGACATAAACACGAAACAAGAGAGAGTAAGCACATGGTGATCATTTGAGAGCGTTGTAATGTGAAAACCGGAAAATTGCTGCAAACACGTATGTTTATCTTTTATAAAGTGAAAAAGTACGTATAAAATCAGATTGACGTAAAAGACAACCTTTTAGTGCTGACTATGTAGTCACAAATTGCTTTAACAACTACAACTGCATCTGCATAAGTCGTAGGACGTTGTAATAAAAGCGTTTTAAGATCAAGTACAAAGTTCGGGACTTTGTTCATTAGTTCAGTGAAGAGAACAGTCCTAAATCGAGTAAAGGAGGAGCAAGAACAGAAGTACTGATAAACGGAGTCAACACTTACGTTATCACAAGAACAAAAGGGATTATCCACTCTTTTCTTATCATACAAATCTTGTTTTAAGTGTGAAAAGTCTACGTTACAACGGCAATATTTAATATCAGCTTTTCGATTAGCTGTTGGGAGCATCTTTACTTGGGTTTGTATGGGCATTAGGCAAGGTTTGAACCCGGTGATAGTTAACTTCATTCTAGCTTCAACAGGCAATGTGTTATATTCACTTGCTGTGAGAAATAACATTGAATCGTATACTGTATTCAAACGACAACGCGTGGTAGGGATGAGTTGTCTTTCTCGACTACGCAGGAAATAACTAGAAGATTAGAGATTTTGAGCGGCGAATAATAATTTTTGAAGTATGAGGGTGCCTTACTTGAAGCAATTTTATGAAGTAGAATCAGTCTGTGACGTTTAAAAACAGCTGTCAGAGATTCCCAACCTAGATGGTGAAGAACACTCTCAGCTGCGCTAAACAACATAGCTCCGGAGACAGCTCTAGCTGCCACATATTGAGCTGATTCAAGGCGGGCTATATTCCTGTCCGTTGTATTCCCATAGATAGAAGACGTATAGTTGAATTGATTTAAAATATTTGACTCATAAACAAGGTCGTATCCTCAGAAGCGGCTATGCCTAGCGAAACTAAGACATTTAGCTGGGAAAGTACGCCAGAGTTCTAACCGGGACGGCAGACCGGCCGGTCTCCACCGGTCTTTTGCCAGTATAGAAAGATTTTCAAACCGGCCGGTGATTAACAGGTTTTGAAATTCTTAGCATTTTTCTCTTCTTCACTAAGAAAAAATGGGTTTTGCTACCCTCTTGCGTCTAGAAAATATTTGAAAACCGACAGGTCCTTTGCCGGTTTTTCACCACTCTAAAACGATTTTTGGATCGACCGGCCCGGTTCGGTCCGCTGTTTTTGATCGGCCCGGTTCGGTCCGCTGTTTTTGACCGGCCCGTCCGGTCTGTCCTCTTATTTTTAGACCGATTAGAACTCTAATGTACGCCCCGACGTTGAACTTCGATTCATTTCCAAGCCACCTCCAAATGTAGATAGTTTCTACCAAATCAAAGATCCCGTACCTAGACATCTACAGTCCGATCGTCTATTGTGTACAATGTTCAAACTGTGCCGATTCATATGTAGGAAACACAAAGAGACAAGGAGTTAGAAGACTAGGAGAACATGGTATGCCTAAGGAATTACTCACTCCATCAATTGATCACTATATCCGATAGCAATCAAGAGGACGACAGTGAAGATAAGAATACAGTGGAACCTGTTCGTCGTAGGCGTACACGAACAGTAGGTTCATACTCTGCTACTCGGATTTTGAGAAGTGCTACCAGGGTTCAAACACAACTTCTTCCATCTGGAACAGCATCTGTGTTTTCTTCTGTCAGAAAAATTCCTAATAATAGTAACAGTTGAATATCACAAACAGTGTTGAATACACATAATGGAAGCCTAAATTCTTCATTATCCAGGCATGAATCAGAAACAGATCACAGTATAAACTAGAAGGATTTTAAGGTATTCTAGAATGATCAAGATTCATATTGTCTTTTAATAAAAGAATCGTTGATCATTCAAGCTTACAAACCTTGGATGAACTGTCCTAATCGATAGTCCGTTGTCACTCTTCTCTAATCGTCTTTTTAAATACAATTCGCTTGAATTCACTAGTCATTCTTTCACATACTAGCTTATAAATGAAAATAATATTTTCTTTGCTTGTCTTTCTCTTTAATATCACAAGAAAAAAGAAGTGAAAATACTTATTCTCTATATATATTTATAACTAGCTCTTCTATAGTCACACCAGTGCACTTCCATTCCATCGCTTTAGAAACACATTTTTCGTCTATATATTGCTGTTTGTTCTTGATAATGAAATTTTATATTTCGAAACGCGGACTTCTATATATGTAAACTATTTTTGTGCTCGTTTTAATTAAATATATATTTTATTCAGTTATAAATGGTATATCTAGTAGCCGCTGTTGCTCGTAGGGTTTTACTGAAATATTGCCCCTACGAAAGCAGAACGTATTTCTGATCCTTGAAGAATCTGACAGAATAGATTGTACGGACTTAAAGACTCCGTCAGAGGTCATCTCCGATGCCGTACGTCAGATGTTGACGAAACTTTCCATAAATGTTATGCACAATAAGTTACGGGCGTGAGAATTTATTTTTTTGTCTTCAAGTCTTACCGTTTAGGAGTTTTTCAGAGATAAAGGTCCAAAGAGAATGCTGCAGTATTTCCCAAGATTTTTTAATATACGTCAAGCGAGAAAGTTCGGGTTTGTTTTACGTTAAACTAGATACCTAACTACACGGGCTGACCGCGCGCATTTTTGAATTAAGCCTTTGTTCGTTTTGTAGACAACTAACAATTTCAGAAACAAGAAATCTCTTTCTGATTTTCTAGAAAACCTCAGTTTTGAAAAAGACTAAGCTCTAATTGGAAAGTCGGCTCCGATCAGCCCATGTAGTTAGTCTAGCTTAAAATAAAACAAACCGGAACTCACCTGTACTCTCGCTTGGAGCACATTAAAAAAACTTGGGAATACTCCAGGTGTAACTAACTCCCATCTAGAGAAAACGCTGTATAAAATGCTTAATTTTAGGACTCGTAGGAAAACGTCTGTAACTTTTTGGTACAGTCATACCGCGTTGTACGACATCTTATTTTGATCAGAAGAGTTTGCTGTATAATCTACGCATTCAGAAAAAATTTAATTGCATAAGTATCCAGGAAAAAACTGTTTTTGGTATATAGAAACGTGGTTCTCGCAAAAATCGGCTGATAAACCATTCTGGCATTTCGTTCGTTCGTTCTCATTTTACAAGGCCACACAAACCAGGCACTAAATGTTCACGAAATGAATAGAACCGAACAAATTTACCTTTCATGAATATAACAGAAATGAATTTGTTGTTACTGTCCTACATACTTGTGAACCGTTGCAGTTGTACAATACTAATTGCACTAATATTATACTGATATATAAAGCTGGAATCGAACCAGTAGATTCACCAATTCAGTTCGGTTACATTTTCTAACTCACCAGATTACTTCAAAAATTTGTTGAATGTTTTTGGTAACATTGAGTCAAATAAACATGGAAAGGTAAAGAATATTAGCAAAAAAAGAACAAATAGATGTCTGAATATCATAGCACGGCGTAGGATTACATTTCATAAATCTATATTCTCCTTTGTTGAAATAACTTTTTTTCTCTTAAACGTTATCGTCAGAAAATAATAGTTTATTCTGAAAATCAGGTGTTTAATCTGATCATGATTAAACTTTGTTATTGCTAACAAAAAATAGAAAAAAAATGCAGAGAAATATAGAGAGCCAATATATATATGTGATGTTTTCTATAGTGAATGTTAAACTTACTCAGTAGAAAATGGCAAAAAAATGACTCTTTCTGCATTAACCTTGACTGTTTTCAAAAGCATTGAAGTCGAGGGTTCTTTGCTACAAGATGGAGCTTATAACTCATTAAGAATATGTTATTTTACAAAACTATGTGCAGCGAGTGTAAGATAAAAGGAGTTCGCAAAATTTATTTAGAAATGTACCAATGTTTTGCCATTGATTACTCTAACTTTACTGTTTTATTTAAAAATTATGGATAATTTTGCTATTCGTTAGAGTAGCTTATCTAAATTGTATTTATTTTTAAACTTTAACTATCATCTCTCCAGTACAACGGCACTGAAATTGGATTATCCCATTGCATCTGTGCCTAAGGGTACCGAGGCAATGAGCATTAGATAGCTTGTCCAAGACTGTGACGCGACGACCGTTGCCGCGATTCGAACTCCGTATGTTTGAAGTATATTGTCTGCCCACTAGCCGACTGAATCATGCTGCACAACTGCTGTATTTATTGTTTTTTTTCATTTGAAAGTTGTTGTTCTCTCATTTTAAGTTTAACTTCTGAATTGGTAAGAAAATAATATAAAAATGCATTGGCTTGACATAACCATTCTGTTATCAAATAGCCAATAATTTTTTTTAAACATGCAATAGTTGAGTTTGGTATGGCAGTTAGTTTCAATGAATTATATCTAAAATAGTCAAATTTAAAATGTCCATTTAGATAATAATTGAAATCACTACAAACTGGAATATTTAATAATTCGTTAAATCTGTTCCAGTTTATATAGTCATTACCAATGGTTGTTAAATGACAAAATAGACTACATGTAACATTGAAATATTCGTACTTTTGATCATATCGTTGTAAATAATCATCATGACCAAACTGATAAATAAATATATCAAATAAATTCATATGATTTATATACAGTGCATTTTGACTATATTTTATCCAATCTGAAAATACAGTTGTAGTACAATTAAGTATATATTTCCATTTATTAGCTTTAATTTGTTTTAATATATTTAAACAATATTGTTGTGCATCATCTGAGATTGTTTCTAATAAATTGACATTTAGATTTCTTAGCCAATAATGATCACAACATTTTTGTTCAAATGATTTTATGGCATACAAAAGAAACTGTTCTAAATTTCCGTTGATTGTATCTAAACAATCGTCATAAAAATTTTCTGTTTTCTTAAATGACGGTGTCAATTCCATAAACCAGTTTAATAGTGTTTTAAATATATATGAATCGCACATCATACTATCAGCTATATAACGATAGTACAAACATTTAATGAAGCCCATAAATGCTATTTCTGCTTCATTGCGTACATTTATTAGTACGGCTTCAACACGTGAAAATGAATAACGAAAATCGAGACGTCCATCAATATCCTGTGTACCATTTCTTGACCATTTTGGTACAAGATCGCAACCAATTTGTTCAATAGCATCACAATTTTTTTTCCCATAACGGCGATCTATACTAGTCAAAACATTCATACAACAATTTGGCCATTGTTGTAAATGAACAACTGGTGTTAAGTCAAATATTTGCTCATGATCTATTCCTTTGTATGACGATTGAAAGAATGGATGTGTATTAAATATATGCAATTGAGCTAATAGTAAACTTGCGTACATGTTAACGGTCATACTTTACATACATCTGCAGAAAGAGGAGTAAACGAAAAGTACAAAGAAAAAACGATTTAAGGGTCCCAGCCCCCAGTGAAAAAAACTTTTTATTTCCACATCCGATTTCGATGGCGCTTACAGGAATTAACGCTTACTGTACACGTAACTTATGACTAAAAATTACTTATTAAAATACTTATACTAAAAATTTGAGCTCCAAACGTTGAAGCGTTGCCGTGTTATCGTGTGACACCGGGCAAAACGGGCCTATTAGCAAAAAGGTATAGCCTTTGTTGGTAGAAAGAGCAGAAAAGTGTGGGCGGTCTTAAATAAAAATAAACGCCTAAATCTAAAATTTGTCCGTAGCGTTTTTAGAATTTCGCTTCCGTTCATTAAATCAGAGCTCTGAAAGTAACCCTAATCGGATGGAGTATTTGCCATATATCTCTGTATAGAAAACGAAATTCAACAATCGTTGCGGGCAAAATTTAGATAAATGTCTTAGCTTCAAAATAAAACAAGAACGAAGATTGTACGATGACCAGCCTATGAGGAGATATAATTTTTCTCCGCTAACACGATGTTTTGAGAATAACGTTAAACAAGATTGAAGAGTATAGTGACAGCAGATCTGAGGTTTAATATAGGAGTGCGATATATATATATATGAAGCAAAAAGAAAGCTCTTTCTTTTACTTTCATAGAGACTTTTTGATCGATAGAAAACCTAATGAATGTCTGACAAAAATAGCAGATATTATGATTAGGGAATAGTACATTAAGTAAATATCGTTATTACTCAAAATTACGCGATTTTATCCACAGTAATTAAAGAAAAATAGCTAAAAAATGGCTGAAAACCGAGGTGACTAACACAAAACCTCGTGAAAACAATAGTGCTTTTGTAGAAAGCGACACATATTCTAAAAGAGGAGACTTTGGCCTGTCTGAACAAGAAACTCAAAAAAACTCAACTCAAATTCACGTTTTCGATGAAAATCATCAGTTTCGCTGGGGAGAGGGGAGGAGGGGCTTAAGATCGCTGGACATTTCTGTCGACATACTTGAAGTATTAATCTTTAGCAAGCGACATTTTTTCTTTAAGTCTAAAATCGGATGTCAACAATTGATGAATAAATGAATTCATCCGTCCTACTGTTGTCAAATAGTCATAAACATTCACATATGTTTTATAGACTTTAATTAATTCTTGATAATTACTTGTTTCTAACCAATTCAAAATTTGTTTTATTCGAACAAAGTGTTGTTGATACTCTTTGTTGTATAAACATTTATACGGCGCATACTTTCTAAAACGAAAACTAAAATCGAGACCAATGATAAAATCAGTTGTTAGTTCTGTCCATTGTTTTAAAATATCATTTCTATCTTCAATAATCCATACATCTAATTTATACGATAAAGTTTTGAATAGATTTAATTTTAGTTGTACAGCTGCATAGGTATCTGATTGTTTAATTGGAAATGGTATGATTTTAAATGCAATCGATGTTTGTTGAATCGGACGTTCAATATTAATACATTTATTATTATTCCAGTATTGTAAATTGTAACTTTCTTTAAACGCATAGCCATCTAAATATCTTTTATTGTTCACCTTGATAAATTTATAATCTAAAAAATGTGAAAAGTGATTCAAGTCGACGATTGTTAATATCGCGAGCGACGTATGCATTGGTCCTGTCATCCTACAAAGTTGAGGTTAAGCACTACTGTTTTATGACATTTTATATTAATCGCATATGGCTAGAACAGGAGCACAAGACAAGCAGAAAAGTAAAGCTTTAAATTACTATATTCGAGATCGCTTTTACAAACAAAAAGAAGTTTCTGTCGAAATTTAGAAGAAACGCTTAAAGAATTCTCAAGGACACTTTCCATCCAAAAATGTTTCCAAAACTAAGTTTGATATGTCTCCCTATAGAATCGAGTGTTTTCTTCAATATGAGGCGTCTTCTAGCTGTAGGAAGTGCTGAGTTAAAAATTTATAGAGATTTTCCTGAGAGCCTCACAAAATACACTCTCTTCGTTTCGTTGTATATATCTCAGAAGCGCTCTTTTTCAGTCGGAACTCTCCGTCGATGTTAAGTTTCAACTAGAAGAACTTGACTTATAAGGCTGGAATGGACCCTGAAAAATTACAAGAAACCAACAACCCGAATATATGGTTTTGTAGAGAATTTTACGGCGCATCTTTTAATCCTTTTATTTTTATTTAGTTCTTTATATTTAATGAGAGAAAGTGAAAATATTAAGTTTTAGTCAATTTTGGCACCGTCGCAATATAAACTTTTTTCTCTTTAGCCATTAAGAGGTAAGCGTTACTTCTGATTCTCAAGCATGAATTCGTAAGCGAAAAAATCCAGATACACTTGCTAGGGTATCGTCCGATACTCCAGCAAAAGTATCTACATAAAAGAGTAAAAAATATCGGGTTATCTAGATGCATCGAGTTTTACTCGATTACACGATGCAATATCCAATGCATCTAGTAAGAAATTATGGTTGATAGAAAACAATAAGAACTAGGGACATCTAGCGATTAAGCGTACGGTTCGTCTAGCTGTTTAAAAAAAAGAATCGCTAGATATAAAAAGCGTTATAATTAGTTGTAAATCGAGATGAAAAAAAAGGAAGAAAGAAACACAGCTCGTGATCAGTAGTCTTCTATCTACGCCATTGTACCACACGAGCTTACACAAATAGATATACATTTTTCATTCTCTTCTTGTTATTATGGATAGAAATAACACTAAATTTAAAATAACTAATTAACAGTAATAAGCGTTTCTCACCATAATGGAAGCATTGATTAGACTTGAGTCTGGAATATGAAATGCTGGAAATTAATTTCTTAAAATTTTTCTACTGGTGTTGGGTCTCCAAAAGTCGGTCTTCGAACTAAAAAATGGCGTTTTGTGCTTTTTATCTTGAAGATCTAGTTGTACAAAGCTGAGCCTGGCAGATAAATTTTAGAAAACTAAATTTGTTACACATTTTGTTCCAAACTCAAACTTGAGAAGTACTTTGTTCGTGGTGGGAAACTGAAAATTAGCTTTAAAAAAGTGGTTTTCCCTAATTTTCACTGTGAAGAAGATGTTTTCCAAACTTGAGCCTAGAAGATAAAATTTAGCAAATTAAGTTTCTTCAATTCTATCTGTTAGGCTCAGCTTTGTACAACTTGAGCTTCACGGTGCAAAATAATAATTACTGTTTCTCCTCATTTAGAACAAGGTGATTTCTCACTAGTTGCATCCAGCTGGAAATCGCCTTACACTAGATGCATCCCTCGATTTTAACGATAGGATGGAATGGAATTGACCTAAACCGGTGTTCAAGCAGATGAATCGATCGATATATCCCACGATGCATACGCATCTAGATGTATCGCGTTTTGTATCTAGTATATCTAGCTGCATCGGGCGATACCCGATGGATTTTTCATGCTTGGGATTGGATTTTGTTCATCAATGCATTAGCTTTAATATATGTGTAAAATAAATATTTTTTCTTTAAAGTTTCACAACTTTTTGTGCTTCAATTGAATGATGTATATTCGAAACATTTTGTTAATTTTCATTTATTGATGAAAAAATTCAGCAATTTTTCAACGTGAAAACTCGAAAAGAAGTTTGCTTCGCTGATTCCGAATATGCTGTTTTTATTGCATAGAAGTTGAGTATTATATAAAATACCATTTCGTCCTTATTAGACAGGTGTTTCAAAAATATTTGCTTGAAAAAAGTAAATCTTTTAGCTATTAATCTGTGTTTTTGCTGTTCCGGCAGAAGGAAAAAGAAGTTTTGAAAATCAACAAGATAGGTCTACTATTAAATACGCACTACATATGGTGAGCATTCCAACCTGATAAGTCAGGTCCCTCTGATCGGTACGTTGCTGCTACAGTGGTCTCAGGAAAACCAGAACTATCTAGAAGATAGAAAGGCACTTGCTGCAAGAACCTTTGCATAACAAGTTGCGATCTATTTCGGCTGAAAAAATCGCGACAGTACGATGAGATGTTCTTCATATGCTGGGAAAGCGGAAGGGATGTAAACTTCAGGTAATCATTTCGACTGAAACGTTTTCTATTAAGACAGTTGAAACTAATATGAATATCGGACGTTATTGATAAGACGATAACGAATTTTCTCGTTGTCATATCTTTGTCCTAGCCATATGAATGAATTTTAAGAAAGATTTTGAGTTTAAGATCTGAAAAAATCAACATACCTTCTTCTTTACATTCACCATTCGGGTCTTCAAGTAGCCAAACATAATCACATCGGTCTGTTCGAGGCACAATTAGTTGATTACATGAATCTTTATTAAGACTACTAATGACTATCGTGTAATCGAATTCAACCGTACCGGAGAAAGTTTTTGAATATGAACGTGAAAATGATGTTCGATCATTGTAACTACCAACTAACACACGACATTTCGTTTTTTGAATTTTATCATTTTCGAGTATAGCATCGATAGAAGAATATAACGGTGGAATTGGTGTAAATAAATCATAAATAATTAACTTTTGCAATAGTTCGTCATCGTTATCTACTGCAGCTTGTTGTGCCATGATACTAAGTTAAAAAAATGAACAAATGTTACATACACTTTCAAAGTATCTCGTCAAAGTTGATAGAATTCTTTTTTTTTGCTATTATAGTTGATCATTTCGAATCTCGTAAAACGTAGTGAAACCTGTTTTAAATACAGTATTGTAGCACCACTATAAAATAAACCAGATGATCGATTCTCACACAGCTTATCAAAAAAACAAGTCATAAGGACCTAGTTATGCTTTTAACTATGAAATTTTAACTACCTCATAATAACGGGTACGCAATTGTTGATAAAGAATATAAGAAAAAAGCTTTTCATTCTGGTTGCTCGGATTCTCACGATCTAATGTTAAATACAATTGACAAAGGTTTAAAATTTTCATTCTGAAGTAACATCATGCTTCATTCTTTCCTTTCAATAGCACTGTATTGTTAGTGGCAAGATAACTCCAAGGATTATTGTAATTTCATTGTTTCATTTCATGTTCTATATAATAAATTTAAAACATTGACTGATATCATTTATTTCCAGGCGGATAGATCAAATAGTCGATGAATTTTCAAAATCAAACGATCGAAGAACATACAGATGATTAATTAGAATTTAAAAAATGAATTAAATGTTCACTGACCTCTAAAATTCCAATTTTGAGCATTCATAGTTTAGCTAAAATATCATGCAATCTTTTTAGTGTTTTTTCAATCACTTCTAGAATAAAGATGCATTCTCCACGTGTTCAGGGAAAGATCTTAGAGAAAGGGAAAACCAGATCTAAGTTCCAACTACAGAAAGAAAAAAGAGACTTAGAGCAAAAGCTTTCTCCTAAAAGTCAGTGAAGAAAAGAAAAAAAAATTGACCCACCGTTAGGGTAATCCTCGGTATATCACTGCCCCCTGCAGAAGCGCAAACATTTTTCAAAAAAAGATCGATATTGAGTTACACCATTGAATAGTTTGGGGTGAATCCATGAAAGAGAGACTTTGACCAAAGGTTTTTGAGGGTTTTTAACTGGTGCCACCAATGCCAGTGTACTGGGTGCCTAAGTAGTTTGGGCATTCTAGCAGAAATGTTTGGTACAAAGAGGTACTGTTGAATGCGGGTATTTGTAGATTAATATGTTTCTAGACCTTACAGAAATTATACGTTTATGCTATACGAAATGTAGAACGGTATCTAATCTCTAAGTTGAATTTTACACAATAACATAACTACTTACTTTTACCCTTTTAAAATGGAATAATACTGTGAAAAAATTCAGGCTATACAATATCAGACGGCGTTCTGAACTTCAGAGGTGGGCAAGTCCAAGTCCGGACTTGACTTAACTTGGACTTGGGGACTTTTTTATCAAGTTCATTTGAAGTCCAAGGAGTTAAAATCTTTTACATTCAAAGACGGATTGAGTATAATCTGATAGCTAATTTATTAAGTGAAACGTGCTTCAGTGTATGGATAAAATTTATTTACCCGTCATATATGATTATGACGTACTGTATATAGTGCAGAAATATGAAGAACTTCGATTCGAACTTGCATCTGACTTGGACTTGGGCTTGACTTTGACTTGGAAATGGTCGGACTTGCCCACCTCTGCTGAGCTTTATGTCACTTAATGACGTAGTTTCTGTCATGCCTAGAAAATATTAATCTACAAAACCTCGCATTAAACTTAAACAACATCACTTAATCTTCGTAGATACCAAATATTTGTGTTAAAAAGCCCTTAAAGTTATAAGCTATTGTTGTGCCAAATTTTTACCAAACTATTTGGGTATCCAGTATAATACTGGTACTAGTGCATACCTTCCAACATGGCGACCGATGTCAGGACTCTCTTAAGTTGATAATAATTTCAATTTGACAGATACAATACAGTACCTCGAGCTGTATATAATAAAACGATTAATATATTCTTCATTTGTATGTGGACTTGTGCTTGTTTTAATATCGCTTGATTAATAACCACCATAACGCACCATTATTTGATTGCCTATTTTTGTTTATGAAACAAAATTATTTTTAGCAGCTAGCTATTTGTTCGATTACATTTATCATCAGAATGTCGATACTACGCTGTCTATTTGGGGTTAAATAAGTTGAGTTATTGCCTATACAAGAGAATTCCTATGTAATTTCAACCATTTCCACAAAGATTTATTGTCCTAGCCCCGATCGATGATTCTGCAGACACGTTTCTGAAACATCCGAATCTCTCGAATTCAAGACATCGGACTGGGCAGAATGTGACCGATTTGCAGGTGTTTTAAGTCTAAAAGTGGCCTTAGGTTTTTTACTTTCTGTTCTTTTTTATTCATTTTCCAGTGGCTCTTCTCTTTGTTCATTCGAGCGAGTGACAGGCTTCACTAGCTCGGACGTGTGCCGTTGAACAGTGGAAGCGATGACTCCCACCGTTAAGCATTTGAGAAGAAAAATGTCTCGTTTTCGTTTTCTACAGTGTCGTATTTAAAGTGCTGCTGTTACAGAACAGACGGTAAAGTGTCAGTATATCCCATTATCAACTTTTGAAAACTGTTTAACCTCTCCCCATCCTACTGTGATCAACCGTTATCTTTAACACTCCTCCCTTATGATAACGTAATCAATAAAAAAGCAAATTTTTATTTGTCCATATTAAGTTTTTCTTATCACAATGTACAACTTTTCTTGATTGTTCAAACAAACAAAAGACGCATTCACGACAAATTTCGTTCAGAATTGCTAATCAGTATATTTCGCTTCTCTCATCCGTACTTGTTACAAAGAGAAAAATTTCACTTCTACTATTGAAAATAAGAAAGAAACAAAAAGAAAAGTATTCGATGTAGATATACATATATCTATACAACTATATATCTCCTTTCACTTTAATGTAATATCCTATACGTGATAAATTTTTTCTCAACTTTTTCATTGATGGAATGTTATTGCGTTAATCCTCTTTTAACGGCCAACATCATTTTCAAAATAACTCGTGTGTAATATAAAGAATGTCAGATGAAAAAACGTAAAAGCTGAACATTACTGCTATTTAGAGCTAATAATCTTGAGAGAATATATCTTTTTAATACAGCAGCATTCATAATAATTTGTATTTTCCATTGACTGAAAGACTATGGGTTTATAAGCCGAAATTCGTGTTGTCTGTCTGTCTATTAATATCACCTACAAAAATGACAGAATTCTACAAATAATTAAGATCCGGACGGAATTTTCATTGCAATCAAGTCGAAACAATATTCATGTAATATTGTTGGATATCTGGGACATTTAGCAGCTTTCTTCAAATTTGAGTCCGCCGGCATGAGAAGGGGGCATTGGTGAACATTGTGAGTGGGTGAAGAAACAAATTATTCGAATTTGAACTTCGAAGAAAACTCCTAAGCATTCGAAATGCCGCAAAAATTCTAGAAATTTCAAATCGACCATCGCTAAGATTTCTGATACTTTAAAATCCCGAGAATGTGGAACTCTCGATTTATGAGAATATGCAGTTCAGAATTCTGTCGGAATTAGGACAGTTCTGTGAGCAATAGACTGTATGGGGAACTCTATGTTTCGTGTTAGAAAGTTTCCAATTTATTAGGAATCTATGACGAGTTTTCATATGGTTCTCTTCATGTACGTAAAACATCCTATGTTTTCGAATCACCGGAAGACCATTACTTGTTTTCCATTGACTGAAAGACAATGGTCTTATTTCACTAAATACAAATTTGTCTTGTCTATCGGTGTGCTAACATCGTCTATAAAACTGACAAACTTCTATAGGCTTCAATGGAGTTCATCGAATTCTAGGAAAGACTGTTGATTTGTTTTGCACTTTTCTAATGCCACATAGAACAGAATATCTATAGGTTTTCGTATAATCTACAGAATTATACAGTAACAGAATTATACAGTACAGAATTATACAGTCTTGAATTTTGCATTTTAACGCTTATATTCTGTCTGATTTCAAGCGTATGACACCTCTCACTCCTCTATAGTTCATGAGGCTTTATACTCATTCTTGCTCATCATCTCATCTACAACGATCTTACTCCAGCCACCTATCAAAAATCATGTCTGCTACTACTCCTACTCGTAATAATCAATCGTTAACATTTAGTTCCACCTCCAAGTTTGATCGGATAATTCTTGATTATAAAGTTCGGTTAATAAACGTGATACGAAATGGAAGAGATTGTCAAAAGAAGCGTATAATCAGATCATTAGACTGTTAAGACAGAAGTTTAGAAGTTCAACAACACACAGATACAGTCAATATTATTAATAAACTACTGCAGCAACAAGATTCATTGATCAATCAACAACAAAAAGTAATTGACTTAGCCTCTTCTGTCTTGCCAATCTCCGATTCTTCTTCGTCAAATACACTTCATTTATCTACAAATTTATCACCGAAAAAGCAGTCATCAGAATCTGTTTGTTTTTCTCCAAAAAATGAAACACCAAAATCCGATTGTTTGTCATCTTCTACACCTAATAAGACTACTATCCCTTCTCCCAAAACTAATCACGTTATCATCGGCGACAGCTTATTACGACACATTAAATCCACAGATCTGTCCACTTCTAATGTTCATGTCAAATTACGGACAATTCCCGGTTGTAAAATAGATCTTGCGAACGATCTGGTCTATCAAAAACCATTTGAATTATCTATTAAAGTCAGTGGAAACATTAACTTTATTTTTTGGTACAAAAGATGTTTCATTAAAATATCAATAACCATCTGAAGTGACTAAGAAAATGCAAGCCTTAGTTCAAGCAGTGCAGCAAAAATACCCAAAAATTACGCCAATTAATATTATTAAAGTTCCACAACGATTCGATAAGCCAATCTTGAATAAAATTAAAAATTATAACAGTCTATTAACTGAGACTTTCTCAAACGATCCAAAAATTAACATTTTGGCCATTGATTTGACCAAAGATTTAATACAATATGATAGGCTTCATCCGAATGACGATGGAATTCAATTGATAACAACAAAACTGAAAGAGCCAGTATAGGACAGAGGTAGGTCTCCTCAGTGTTTTCATCTAGTATAGCGACAGATGACTGTTCTTTAAGTGTAATGTGCCATAACGTGGAAGGATTGAGAGGGAACGTTGATGCTTTGAGAGCCTTTGCCGCGGAGCACAAGCCTCATGGTTTTTGTTTACAGGAAACATTCTTGTCTGACGTCGTCGACGATAAAGAACTGAATGTCGCACTACGACAATCACATTACTACAATCACAATCACATTCATTCGACAATCACATTACTACGACAATCTTTCACATTTTCTACTTCAGTATGTTATAGATTCTTCTGCTCATTTAATACTAACTGGTGATTTCAATTCCGATCCAAAATCAGAGCCTGCTCTTTTCTATTTATTGAAAGAAGTTGTTTCATTATTTCATCTTATTCTGTTCGTCAATTCCCCTACTACTATTGGTGATACCCTTTTAGATAACGTGTACTACCCGTCCCTATGGCTGCCGTCGTCTGTCTCTTTATTAGATGCATTGGGTGAATCTTACCACGGCATTTTACTCTGTACGTTTCCTTCTATTTCTGTTTCACCGGTAGTTAGTGTTCGTAAGGTTAGAAGTTTTAAACGTGCAGACTGGGAGAGTTTAAGGACTTGCTTTTCTTCTCTTTCTTCTACACCTTTTCTTTCCATCGATAATGCAGATATAGCTTTAGAAAAATTCGAAAATTTAATGAATGAGGCTATTATAATACACGTACCATTAAAAACAGTAAAACCAAAACAAAAGTTGTTCTTTCAGCCATCCAGGCAGTTTTATAATTTTAGACGTCATCGACATAAATTTTGTAAAATGTAAAACTAATATGTCGGAATCAAGTATAAAAAGCTTCATATGATGAGAAACCAGACATTAAGTGAGATGAGAAAAAACAAACGTGTTTATTTTGAAAAGTTATCACAGAAATGCACTAGTGCTCAGAATTTTTGGAAAGGAATCAGTTGCGCAAAATATGGCAGTTCAAAGTTACCGACTACAGTTTTGTTAGGTAGTAAAGTTGTGAAAGATAATATAACAAAAGCAAATCTTTTCAATGAATTTTTTTCAACATGTTTTTCACCTAAATCCGGACCATGTTCGAAACCAAAATCAGTAATTAACGACACTTTCTGATTAGTTCCACCATCAAAAGAACAAATTTTCATAGCTATATATAGTTTAAGGACAGATATAGCGTCTGGATCAGATTAGATACCAGTTTGTTTTTTGACAGAGTGTGTGTTAGAACTTTTAGATTTTATTCATCATTTATTCTGTTTATCTATTGAAAAAGGTGTTCATCCACAAAATTGGAAATACGCTGACATTGTTCCAGTAGATTCTAAACCTATTCACTGGAAATTGATTAGAACTAATTAATGTTAATGAATTTTAGAAAAAAATTTACATCAGTAAATAGCTAAGAGTCAGCTCTATCTATCTGCGTAATACTGATTTTCTCCGGTGAAAAATGACTTAAATATGCTCAAAATATCTGAAAAGTTTTAGGCGATTATCGGAATTACCCCATGTGACTCTACATAAAAAGGGACCGAAAGCGCAAGTTGAAAAGTACAGACCAGTTTCACTTCTTTCTATTCTAAGT